TGTGGTTTCCGATCCACATACCACTATTTTTTGGGTCTGCCATACACAAAGGGATATGATTGAACACAACGAATAAATAAATAAATAAACAAATAAATAGAACTCACCCAAGAGCACACTCCACTGAAATACATTGAAAGGATGGTGTGATAAGAATAGCCCATGTCGGACAGACTTTTACAAAAAGCTCGCAACTTGTCTGCCGACACGGGGGGAAAAGGGCCTCATGCCAAGCCATATACGCATCTCTTGCCCTCACTGTCGAATCCATCTAAAAGGAAATGGAAAGCAATTCTGTTAGGACCTGACTCGACTCTTTACGAGCGGCCGAACGGATTAACTATAACTTATTAAGTTCCCATTAATCAAAATACTAAATACATTTCAACAGAGGTTAGCTAAAAAGCACATTGAAATTAAATGACGGGAGGGTTTCGCTTTATTCCTATCATCACGCTCAATAGATGATGTTTTCCCGCACTCATTTTCCCCAGCTGTATCAACGAGGCTATGATTATTATAAATTCGTCCTCTCGATCGTCACGTACTAAAGGCATATTAACACCCCATCACCTTATACCTTGATGTTAAAAGATATCAATATGGGCAGACACATATACCTACCACTGACGGAGTCAAAGATACGAGTTGCATCCTTTTGGCTTCATTCATTAAATTTTCGCCACTTCTTTTCTTCGTTCCTACTTCCTCCAGGTAGGCTGTCATTTTCTGGGATGTTATCTTTCCAGATGGCACAACATCGACAACTGTAAAGCAATAGCACGCGTTTACCACAGGACCATATTTCAAAAGTAAACTACTCTTTGAATTTCCAGGCCATTTTAGCCAATAACACTTTCCTGGCCAAGTGCATGGAGATTGATATTTTGTTGCTTTCAGTTCTGGCAGTTCTATTCAGTTACTTCGCCGTATTGTATTGTTGCTCTAATACAGCTCAACCCTCTCATTTGGTAACCTGTGCTATTTGTTTCTTCATTACATTCATTTTGAAATCACTGTTAATGCCTGACATCTGATTAGCTGACAGCAGTGTGAATTTTCTATAAATCGCATCATTTTTTTTGCTCTAAATCACATCTGCTCTAAATTGTGTCATTTCTGGTGTAAATCGCATCATTGTTGTCCTAAATCTCTTCATTTTTGCACTTTATAGCATCATTTTAGTTTCGATCACAAAATGAGTCTAAGGCCCCCTGTGACTCCCACGTTTCAACAATTATTATTATTATTATTATTATTATTATTATTATTATTATTATTATTATTATTATTATTATTATTATTATTATTGACTATATCCTCCAGAGGATATAGTTTATTAAAATCCCACTTACTCTGCAGCTGATGAGGGGTTCCAATGCCACAGGTGTCGATGAGATGCTCGACATCCTGTGGCATGATTGGTTCCTGATTGAAGCGCCCCCTTGAGTCTTTTGTATTCAATAAGTACCGTTTTATGGACGACGAAAGGGTGGGAAATGTCTGTCGAGGACTAGGTAAGTCGTTACACAGATGCTGCAAGGAAACATATGAAGACACAATTACTTTTGATGACTTCAATTCAATCACCTACTTTATGGCGAGGGTTCACCTTTGGAGGACACATCGATCGTTATTGTGAGAGAACTGCAAATATTCGGCCTTGTCGTTTTGGAATGGGTGGAGGGGGCGGACGTGATAACCACTTATCACGGGAACCCCCATGGTGAGTGAAGTTGAAACTAACCTTTTTAAATTATAAGCTCATCTGAAAAACGACTGCGCATGGCGGTCAACGGTAATTTTTGCTGGTTGCATGGATAATAGAAAGACTGGATAGCAAACTGGCTAACGCGATCTGTTCCAACATAGCGGAAAAATGTCACAATATAAGCACGCGAAATCTCTGGTGATCCTTTTGTGCGGCAACAAAATTAACAAAGATAAACAAAGAAAATAATCCGTTACATCGCACTTTAGTATGGAGGTCGAAGAGTCAGTGAAGAGTTTTTTGAAGAGTGGGAGGAAGAAGATTGGGCAGAATTTATTGAGGGAGCGGTGAAAGACGGTGAGATAGCAGTTCAGTCGGAAGAAGACTGTATTGATACCGAAAGTGACAGCCGCGATGAAGGAAATGTGGTCATAAAATGTAGCAAGTGTAAAAAGCTGTACCATCTGAGAGCTTGGTTGAAAAAACACGAAGAATCTTGCCAAGGAAAAAAAACCTAAAATCAGAGGAAAAGCCCGGTTGTCTGAACATCAGGAAAAAAACAGGACGGTGCTGTCTTCCCTCGGATGTGAGGAGTTTTTCAGTGAAAAGTGCGTACCCAGTTTAGTCACTTTGCTTCTAAGAGTATCCTCCAAAGGCGCTGAAACAGCTGGTATTAGAGGCTCCAGATTTATCTCCAGAAAAACTCAAGCACCAACTAGAGATAGAAGAGCAAGTCACATCATTTTTTCCCTTCATTTGTGACAAAGTGTGGTCGATCACCCTCTCGCGGGATGACCTTGTTAGTTCATCTAAGAGGCATCAAGATGTCGCACAACACCTAAACCAATTTCGACAAGACGAGGAACTGATACTGAAGTCGACTGAACTGTGCCGGTTTTTAAGATTAGATTCTGTTGATACCCTTCTTTTACAGATGATGATAACCCAGATTTTTGAGGACATCTCTTCGTTTCGACAAAGATCTGTGGTCGACGTGTTGAAAATCAGACAAGAATACGCCAGAGAGACGTCCGTCAAACCATCCCTCATCACCGTCGAAAGAAATGTCATTGGTTACATCGCTGGTTATATGTGTCGCAAAACAAGGGATCGACTTCAGCGGTGTAACAGTGGAAAGTTCTCAAGAGTGTTGTCAGTTTTGAATCAGAAGTTACTAAGCATGAAAACAGCACCTGCTGCAATGTCTTTCCCCAATTTAATGTCTCTGATTCTTTCCAGAGGTGGCCTTTCTCTTGTGGATTATTCAATATTTAATCTCTTTTGCTATGTTGAAGTTTCAATCCGACCTTTTTTAAACTTAGCCAGATTTCGTTGCAGCACTCGACGCTCTGACACTGAACTTCTAGCACAGGAAATTGTCTTGTGGAATCGTTCGATGCAATTCAAAAGACGATTTTTATAGTCGTGTACTTAATCGTATATACTAAAAATGTCCGAACTCTTAGTAGCCCTCTTAACGGGCGACTAAAACAGTTCGCTTAGTTTAACAGGGCCTTAGTATACACTACTACTGACTTCAAGACGAAAATCATGAGTGATGATTTTTTCAGCAAAGTCAAAATCATTTGCGGAATCGTATGAAACCGTGAGTGTCTGGAATCATCACCAGGCAATTCGCTGCTGTTATGAAATCGTTTGTGGAATGATAACCTTGTGCCCAAAAGGGAACGTTGGATTCACGAGTGGAAGATCGGTTGTCGAACTGTCATGAACCGAACTAGGATCAGAAACGAAGTTGAAACGAAGACAAATATGAAAAGTGTAGCAGAAGAAGTATTGTAGTTCCTAGCGTGCGCGCATTAACTAAAACTTGAAAGGGGCTTGGTACGAGATTTGACCGTGTACCTCTGATCTAACACGAAAATCCTGTTTTATTTCATTAAAACTTTCAAGTTCAAATCGTTTAATCTGAAGGTACTTGAAAATCATAGTCATCCATGGATGCAGGCCGGACCTTTTAAAGGTAAACTTTATTGCTTTGCTTTATAAATAAAATGTTATAAACTTATGTTTGGTGATACATTTACATTCAAGTGATGGTACTCATAACAGAAGCTTGTTAACATCAAAGACATGTGTACTACCTGTATACTGTTGCTTTTTGCTGGTTGGGTAATTTATTGAACACAGAGAGGCCTTCATAAAAAAAAACAATACCACTGATGTTATAATTTGTATGATAGCAGGAAGACCTGTTTTACATCGAACCAAATAAAACAGCTCATTTTGTATAACAGAAAATAACACTAATTTGCCTAGTTTTAGGAGTTATTTTGATAGAATATTATCATAAAATCTGGTACTACATTCCATAAACAGACCCTTGCATTGGTGACAATGAAATTCATCCATTGTTGCGCTTTCAACCCTCGTGCTGACATCCTGTCTAGCATTGTCTTTGGTAGCCTTCAAAGATCGTAGGGCACCCTCACGGCATTCAATCTGTTTGCCAAGATGTCTCTCTCCTCCTCTGTCATCAAGTTGTTGGAATTAGTTATCAGTTCTTCCCCAAGGTCAGAAACAAGGCCCGTCAAGATGCTGTTCATGGGATCAATTAAGAAGTTTTCAACCATGTTGAAGTATGGCAGACGAGCCAGTTTACTGTACTTTACTCCTGTTTTTTGATACATTGCTAGAGCACTTGCTTTTGTTGCTTTTGTTTAATTAAAGAGGGATTTCACCCTCTAATTAAATATTTGGTTTTATCGCTGTCTCGCAAGTTTCTGTGGAGATAAAGGGAAATAAAATGACTTGACACCAATGCTGTATTTCAAGAAAACAAAATCTAACATAAATGGAATAAATGGTGTTTCTAGTTTACAGAATAGAGACATTTTCTTCTTCAAAATGCTTACCTGGAAGATATCTCAAAAGCAACTCTAATTCTTTAATCAAAGTGAGTTATACACTTTCTGTGTGAGTCATCTTACCAGTATAGGAAGGCGTTGCCATCCAGATGGCGCTCGAACACATCTTTTATGTGTAGCGCCCAAGTGCCACATTTCTCAGACCATCCGGCCAGACGACAAAGACCTACTTTCACCTTCAATCACCTACTTTATGGCAAGGGTTCAACCTTGGAGGATACATAGATCGTTATTGTGAGAGAACTGCAAAAATTCAGCCTTGTCGTTTCCGATCCACATACCGCTATTATTTGGGTCTGTTATACACAGAGGGAAATCATTGAACACAATAAATGAAAAAATAAATAAATAGAACTCACCCAAGAGCACACTCCACTGAAATACATGGATATGATCGTATGTCATGAATATTCCATGTCGGACAGACTTTGACAAAGAGCCCGCAATTTCTCTGCCGACACAGGCAAAACAGTTTCCTGCGGGAAAAGGGCCTCGTGCCATGTCATGTAGGCATCCCTTACCCTTAATGTTGAATCCAACTACAAGAAAATAAAAAAAAATTCTCTTAGGACCTGACTCGGTTCTTCATGAGCGACCAAACGGAGTAACTATAACTCCTTAAGTTCCCATTACTCAAAATACTTAATACATTTCAACATAGATTCCCTAAAGAGCACATTGAGAGTAAATGGCGGGTGCGTTTCGCTTTATTCTAATCATCTCACTTAATGGATTTTCCTTTCCTCCACTCATTTTCCCCAGCTGTATTAACGAGGCTATGATATTATAAATTCCTTCTCTCGATCGTTACATTAATAGGCACATTAACAACCCATCACCTTATAGCTTGTATGGGCGGAAAAATATTCCTACCTCTGATGGAGTTAACGATACCAGTCGCATCCTTTTGGCTTCATTCAGCAAACTCTCACCCGTTCTTTTCTTCTTTTCTACTTCCTCTAGGCAGGCCGACAGCCTCTTGGACTTGATCTGTCCGGTTGGCGCAACATCGACGACTGTAAAACAATAGCATACGTTTCCCACAAGACCATATTTCAAAAGTAAACGCGTAGAATTTCCAGGCCATTTTACCAATAACACTTTCCCGGCCAAGTGCATGGAGATTGATGTTTTGTTGCTTTCAGTTGCTACAGTTCTATTCAGTTACTCCACCGTATTGTAAGATTATATCGTTGCTCTTATACAGCTCAAGCCTCTCATTTGGTAACATGTGCTATTTGTTTGTGTTTGACGTTCATTTTGAAATCACTGTTAATCCCTGAAATCTGATTGGCTGTCAGCAGTGTGATTTGTTACGAATCGTATTATTTTTGGCTTTAATTATAAATCACATCTGCTCTAAATTGTGTCATTTCTGGTGTAAATCGCATCATTTTTGTCCAAATCCTTTTGCTCTATATCGCATCATTTTTGCTTCGATCACAAAATGAGTCTAAGACCCCTTTTTGCTCCCACTTTTGAACAAACTCACTTCCTCATCAATATAATTTACTACTGAAGTAGTTATACAATTAAACTTTGTGTCATGCAATTTTGGTGTGAAATTATACGTGTGAATCCAACTTGCCCAGCGCGCACGTCAGAAATTAAGAATCACGCGTATCATTCCAGACCCAATTCACTCCACTCAGTTCAAGTTACATTATTACTTGTACCAATGTATCTGAAAATCAAGGTTATTTCCAATTACACCTTCATCGTGAGGCGCATCCTCCATCGTTTTCGCGTCAGCATGTTGGATCGCAGTACTGTCCTAGCAATGAGAACAAAAAAGCACATAGGTTTTTAAAAAAAATAGGTGTGTGATCATTAGATTACTTGTAATTTAAAGTACTATGTAAATTCTCTCAATACGACACTGAAAAACACTGACCTAAATGTTATGGACATTTTTTAGGAAAAGTTACGATACAAAGGATTTGAATTGCGTCTTTTGGAAACAATGGTCTCTTCGCGTCTTCAATTTTATTAGTGATCTAATGTACCCAAATCGCACGTCCGTTTTTTTTTTTTTTTGGCTAAATACAGTTTCTTTTCATATTTTCTCGGCTTCTTCGCCAGTTGTCTCTAACAATGTAATAAAGAGGGTAGAAAACACAACACCTTGAATGACAACAAGAGATGCCATGTCTTCTATTTCTTCTTTAAACCTCCACAACATTTCACGGGTTAAATCAAATAATCAAAACGACTAAGCGGGCAAGCGCAAACACGTTGCGCTTCTCGTTTGGCCCGTTTCCTTTGGGTCGAACTTGTGGAACGCCTAAAACACTTGCTCTTTTAAAATCCTTTCCAGTTTTTTTTCTTTTTCACTTTTTTTCTCTCCTCTTTGATATTAGGGAGCTTTTGCATCGACGACGGCGAAGGAAGCAAAAACGTTTCTTCGGTCTCACTGAACACTCAAGTCCTTTATTTAACGACTTGAATGTTATCAAACTGTCCGATATCGGTACCCTTCAACTTGCAGTGTTTATGTATAAGTTCCATAACACCTTTTTTAAAGGACAATCCTTGTATGTGTCTATATTGTGGTCCAACAGGAGGTCCCTTTCCAAAAAGCCAAAATTTTAACATTAGGTTCCAGGGTACCAAAATCTGGAATGATATAAGTGATGACCTTTTAAGAAAAAGCTAATTAAAAGTCAATTCCTACTGATAAATATTCATTGCAGATTTATCAACACTATATTTTCCTGGCTTTCCGTTGATTGATACTGGCATACTTAGCTTTCTTTTCCTTTCTGTCATGGGTTGAAAAATATTCTTACTACTGTTGGAGTCAATGAAGCTACAATAGTTGCATGTTTTTCGCATTTGCAATCATCATCTCTCCTTAGCCAGTGGTCAAAGAGTACTGGAAACAAGTTTTAACAAGAGGCTCTAAGTAGCCTATACTCATGCACAGGTTATAACTTAGTACAAAATAAGCTAAAATAGGTACGAAATGTGTTTGTATCTTTGGTCTATGGAGAAGAAATAACTAGTTCAATGATTGTTCATCGTGAGCCATTTCCAATTTTACCTTACATTGTATGTCACTGTATATCATTCAGTGGAGGAAGACAGTTAAAAACATCACAAGTTGACAAAAAAACTTTATCTGTCAAAGTAAACAAGTTTCAAGATGCTGCATAAATTTTCCGCACGAACTGTCAAATTATGACCAATCAGAGGATAAAAATTGGACGTAGAACGTGACCATGGAAAGAAAAGGTTTTCTCTGCCTGTATTTTTAAATAACTGGCTGAATTTTTGCGTTCGAGGTCCGTTTGACATCAAAATCTTAATAGTGCGGAGCCATAGTGACATAAACACAACATATTTCATATAAATTTTAAAAAATTAAGTTGAGCCTGCGATCATTTGAAAACTAGTCACCTGTCAGCGGATAACATCAAAAAATACACGACCTCGATGGGTCGATTCCTGAGCCTGTGATGCGGTCAGGTGATACTGGTCAGTGGATACCCTGTTTTGACAGCTGTCAATTGATCACAACATTGATGTGCAATCAGTTTGCTCCTGGTGGGCTCCCAAACTAGCTAGAAAGTGTGAGTGTAAACATTGGTTTCTTTGGTGCTAACAGACGATCGTTCGTTCGGTCTGTTTACGGTCACGTGATTACCAAATTTTTGGGGATGGGTAGATTTACTTACCATGGTGCTCCGCTGGTGCGCACTTCGTGCGCGCGAGAGCTCCGCTATCAAGTAAAACAATGTAGGGTACAAATAAACTTGTTGTTGTAGTGTAAGGTGTCGCCTCTTTAAGATAAGAACGTCCTAGACACTGCGTTAGCATGAATGAATGCATTTTCTCAATTAGCAAAGAAAAAATTTTCCTGTTCATACCAATATAGTGCAACATTTTTGACACAAACATTCTCTGCAGAGGGTACCCAACCAAGCTGGAAAGTTACGGGGATTCCGGAAGGTGTATGGGAGGGGAATGTTTACAGCAAAGGTACCCTTGGAGATATGGATATTTTCTGAGACTAGACGTTTTGAACAATTTTTGTGTCAGCTTTCTGAAGAATTAACAAATCTCAAGCCCGTATTGGAATGGAAATTCCAAGGGGTGGGAAGTATAAAGCAAAAGTGCCCTTTGTGGGGTTCTGGATATTTTCTGGAATAACAAATTTACTAAAACTTTTTCTGTCAACTTTATGAACGATTAAAAAATATCACATTTAAAGTTGTGGCAAACAATATGAAATATGCGTGGCGTGTGCTCTTGGAAAATTTTAAGAGTGCTAGTTCATTCCTAATTGCACTAGAAAAATCATATGATTGCTTTTTTAATTGTAAACTTGGGAGAATTTGAGTCTCTTTTCATGTTAACGTGTCACCGCCCCTTTTTCCCGCCTACAAATAATAAACTCGACCACGATTGGTCAAAATTTTGACAGGTGCATTTGGTGCATAAAAACGGAGCAGCTAGAAATTTGCTTACGGGCAACCTAAGCCTTTCTGTCATTTCACGTTTAACTTAACAGTTTGCTGTGTCCCAAAAAGTAGGGGAATTGCCGTCTTAGTCGATACAGCTGGATAGCCCAGGGACTACCCTAAAAGTGGGTGGGTGGATCAGGCCTGGGGGGGGAAACTAGTGGAGTAGGGTGGGGGCTAATTTGACACAACCCCTTCAGTAAGTAGCAATGTGCACTAGAGGCTTTGACTGGCTAGTACCAGCTGAATCAGGCCCCCGTGAGATCGATTATCATGATAATCGAAGAGCTCAGTGGGAGGCGCAGACAGTTACCCATTGTCATGGGTGGGGAAGGTCAAAGTGTTGGTACCAAAGACATACTTAGCATAGGACCTGTAGACACTCACCGAAGTCATGTTTACATAAATTCAGTCAGATATATAATTTAGCAATTAATGAATGAGGCTGAGTAGGATATGAAGAATTAAGCAGATCGAGGAGGGTGTTATCCATAGAGGCCGAAGGCCGTGGTGGATAACACCCTCCGAGATCTGCTTAATTCTTCTTATCCTACGAAGGCCGAATTCATTAATTGTTTTATTATTCATTCAAAATAATTCCTAGTTTAGGGACCGGTCATTATTTATGTGGGGAGGGGGGGGGGGGGGGGGGGATTTTTTTTTGTTTTAGCATCAAAGAAAAAACGTGACCCACCCCTTTAAGCCCATTAGTTAATTCTTGACCCACCCCCATATAACTTTATATAAGAGGTGACCCACCCCCAACCCCCTTCAATCTATACCTCTATAAGGAGTTCCTGTTCACTGAACGAAATCAGCATATCTTGTGGACCAGAGTCCTACTCTGCGGCCACTTCTTGTTGATGTGCCTTCTTGTACTGTTACAGTATGACTGTCATCATCTGATTCACTTTCGTCACATAAAACAAGGTCATTGT